ACATGGGAAAGAATGCAGCAGAATGCAGCTTTCGCAAGCAGAGACATGAAACAAGTAGGCCACCTTATGCTCAAAGTGTTAAGACTGAAGGTAGCAGTTTTAAAAAAATTCTCAGTGCTTTAAATTTTGCTGTTTTAAACTGTCTAAAGGTTTACGTTGTGAAAGGAATGGTTTATCACACATTTTGCCTTTCTCACTTTTGAAGTACTCAGCCAAACAGAATTTAACATTTTTGGAACCAATGAAAGTTGATGAAGTGGCAGATTGTCCAAGGACCTAACTGGAGAAACATACTGATTAATTTGTAAAAAAACAAAAAAAAAGCAAAAAAACAAAACAAAACGGAGTCCTCTCTATATTTCTTAGTGCCAAACAAGCCCACATTACCAGTGACACATACAGAGCCATCCGTCAGGCCTTATGGTAGCAATTAATGCCGGTCAGCAGCAACCAAAACAACAAGCTGGTGTCTACCTCGGTTCCTTCTGGTTTTCCGACCAGGAACGGGCAGCTTCCTGGTGTGTGTGGGCCAATCAGAGGCTGCGGTGAGGGCGCAAGAGCCAATAGGCTGCTGAGCTGTGGGCTGGGAAGTTGTGTTCAGAGCGCCAGAGGGGTCATGGGAGCAAATAAATACATGCACACACAATGACTGCATACACACATGACCGCAGTCCGGGGTCATAGAGGCTGTTGGAGCACAGCTGGGTGTCGTCTGAGTGCCGACATTGAGAGAGGAGGATTGGACTGTTCAAGACCAAGATCTTCCTTTGTTCTTAGCTTTGTGTCCATGTGTGTCTCAGTTTTTTCCCCCCTTCTTTCTTGCTTCTTCCCTGGAGGGCAGAAATGAGAGGAGCGATATTATCTTCGTGGGCCTTACACCATTACCTTCCATCTGATAAATCACCAGGCCACTCCATCACCCTCTTCTCTCACTCCTTACCAGTAAGGGGGAAAAAAGAAGCAAACACGGAAACAGGAGGAGAAATCTAGTTTGGGATAGGTTGTGTGTTTGTGTGTTATTCTTCTGTGTGCGGAGAGAGCAGCTGTTTGTTAAAGGAGAGATGGGAAGTATCTGGGGTCTTGATGGCATCCAATTAAGGCAGATAAAATGATGATGAATTGCAGTCGGGCAGCAGAGACGGACGCTTCTGTGTGTGCGTGAGCTCGCTCTCTCTCTCTCTCTCACACACACACACACACACACACACACACACACACAGATTCAAGAAAACAGCAAAATAAGAAAGGAAAGGGGAGACTCAATATAGATGTGGAAAATAGAAGGAAAGAAACCAGGGTGAGGACAGCATAAGGAGGTTTGGAAGCAGAGATACCAGAGGAAAGAGAGGGAGCAGTGGGAAAGATGTATAATGAGGAGGAGTATGCAAAGCGGAAGAGTGCGATGAGTCCGTACAGAGTTTGGAGGGGAAATAGGACAAATAATCTGCTGTCTTTTGATGGGAAATAAAATGAGAGAGGCAGACAAGAAAGATGGATACACAGATGAACTGATAGATAGACCAAATAGAGGTCTAGAGAAGAGGCCAAGCATGTCTGCAGGGACAGGGACTTGTCTAATGCTGTCATACACCCCCTCCTTGTATGTGTGTGTGCTTCTCGATTTGCTGGGATTTATTAATAGACGTATAACACATCACAGCTCTAGAAAACTAACATTTGTAAATTACATAGAAAAAAGTTATTTCTAAATACATTATAATATAACACATGAATTCCCACATACACCATTCTCAGGGTGGCAGAGAGGAGGCTAATGAGGGCCTTGGCGCTGGTTGGTGGAGGGTGGGCGCAGCAGAGCACGGTACAGCCCTGTCTGGCATGGCCTGGTACAGCTTAATGAGATATAAACACCAGACCTGCCACCTCTGTGAGCAACAGCACATACTGGCACTGCTTTAATTGGCTCGCAGGCTGTGTGTGTTTGTGTGTGTGTGCGTGCAGGTGAAGGAGCATTGGAAGTTCACTGGAAATTAATGTGCATAGCTACAGATTGAACACCATTCTTTGTTCTCCTGTCATGTGGTAGCTCTGAATAGATTTGGATTTTGGGGGGGACTACTGTACACTGTTTGTTAAAACTAGTCTCTTATGTAATATGCACTCACTGGCCACTTTATTATGTATGCCTGTACAACTGTATGCAATTAAATGCAACACCTCTGTCTTAACATCT